CTGCCTTTTTTCTCTCTGCTCGTTTTTTTTTTTGCCTTTTTTTTTATCTATGCATCGGTTCAGAGTTTTATCTGCGAGTCGCGTCATAATGGAGCACAGCCATTGAGCAGGCGCTCTGCTCTGCCTTGCTCCTGGAGCCGACCGCGTGATTTATGTGATTACTTCAATGCGGCGGCGTTGCGCCAAAAAAAAAAATAGCCAAAAAGAAACAAACAAACGTCCAAAGAAAAACAGAGCAAGAAACATAAAAGTATCACGCATAGAGAGAGGCCCATAGAAAAGCCATTGAGCCATCGTCCAAAATTTAAGTACATAATAATAAACTGGGCGGCGGCGGCCATAAAATGGACATTGACTGCAAACATTTTGCGGTCGAAAATTGTCGTCTGCCAGCAGTTGAGAAATAAATATGCACTTATGCATAAATATTTTTGTTGCCTCAATTTGCAATTAACACTTGTGCCAGGCGACATATTCGCACTCTCTCTAAAAACTATGCCTCTCTCCCTTTCTCTCTCATTTTATTCTCAATATTTTGCAATAGGTTTCTTTGTATTATGTATGTATACAGTAAGGGCCTCTTAAGTCAGAATTATTTCTTCCTATCCTTCCATCTCTAGCTCTATATGTATTTATCTCCTTCTCTATTGGTATATCTAATTGTATCTCTATCTCCATCGCCATCTCAATCGTTATCTAACGCCCATGCCACAGAAATTTCTCAAAATAAGAAATGGTCTCTCTCTCTCTTTTTTTTTCTATCTATGTCCCTCCTCTATCTTACTCTTTCTCCCTCTCTTTTTGTCTTTCTCTCTCTCTATTTTCTCTATCTCTTTCTGTATATCTCTCTTTTCCTCTCCCTCGATCAACTTCTTTATCAATCTTTGATAATCGTTCTCCCCTTCTCATCGTTTCTCTTTATCTCTCAACGGTTTTCACACAAAACTTATCGTCTTTCTTCGTCTCTCTTTCTCTCTCTCTCTCTTTCTCACTCTCTCTCTCTTTCTCTATCATTTCCTATTCTTCATTCTTAATTCTATTCGATTAATGTCTTTTTCAATCTTGGTCCCCTCTTCTTATCGTTTCGCTTTTCCTCTCAACGTTATTGTCTCCCCTAAAGTTTCTTTTCTTCCATTCAACTAATCCTTTTTCTCCTAACGCCTCTTTTACTCGATCTCTAAGTTTTTCTCACTCTCTCCATATCTTTTTCGTAACATATTTGAGTTTATAAAACGTGGAACCGGACCCAACGACGAAGCACTAGTCCCAGCCTTGAGCCGAACCACATTTGCAGACATTATTCATGTTAGTTCATGATCGATCAGAAAATGAATTTTTATAGTAAAACAACAATATGCTGCCATTAGGTTTGCATGATCTGTCAATCTAGCCAATTGCCGAGGCACGCCCAACGCCAACTCCAAAAAAAAAAAAAAAAAAATACACAAAGAAAAGAAGGCAGTCGGAAAAATTGAGAAAAACAAGAAAAGCAACCAAAGCGCAAAGTGCTGCTATCTATTTATATCGCTTTTGGCTTTTGCCAGGCGGGCGCTAAAAAGAAACGCTGAAAACTACTAACGAACGACACCTGGAGGCGCCTCCAGCTGCGGGACCCGCACCTGGTTGGTGGCACTAGCGTGTGCCGCCTTTTTCGCTTCTTGTTGTTTGCATTTGTTGTCCATTTCTTTATTTTTGTTTCACAGTTACGATACATACACCGAAATTGTTGCTGCTGCTGTTGCACGAATGTTGTAAATCAAAAAGTAGGCGAGTCACACGAAGGCTCCTGCCTCTGCTCCTGCTGCTGCTCGCTCAGGTTAAGGCACAGGATTTCAGCTGCAGCTGCAGCGGCACAGGCTCAGGCTCGCAGCGCCTATTTGACTGGCAGGCCGAGCGGATAACGCTGGCAATTATCGCGCTTGTGCTGCACGAACAGCGGAAGCGGCAGAGGCGCCATCATGTTACTACCACCCGCCCCTCCCCACGTCCAACTCACACCCCGCCAGCCAAGCAGCACCCCCCAAAAAAAATAAAATGAAACCAAGCGAGCGAGCCTAGTGCTGCCTTTGGTTCGCTGGCATCTTTTTGTGCGCTGCAATTGTTAACAACAAAAAATACAAAGAAGTAGCACCACCTAATGCCGAAGTTGAAATACCCTCACAGAGCTAAGATTGAATTATGATGTTAAAATGAAGATTTTTCAATTTTTTTTTAAACGATGTGTTAATGTATTTTTGTCAAACTGTAAGTAGTATAATGAAAATAAAAGAGTTTTTATGCTTTAACTCAATTTATATAACTGAAGTATAAGAGATATAGTAGTTCGATCCTAATCATGACTGTCAATGCAAATTTCATTATTATATTTGATTATTCAAACAATACAATTCTCTTGAGATTTGTGTTTAAAATAAATTGCATTTGTTTGCTTTTTCTCCTCTCTATGTCAACTTTTTGATGAGATAGTTCCAATAAGAAAATTATTGCCAAGATGCTTGAAGTATTATATATACTCTAGACTATAGGACCAGACCTCGACTAGCTCATTAACTAAAAATTAGAAAGCTCGCCAAGCAAACAAAATTGTACCCTAAATGAGTCCATTTTATGAATTTGGATGAGATTTCCTTGAACATTATAATTGCTCCAATGGCAGCTATAATATATAGCTTTATGAATATGATAAGAATTTCTAGATATTTTCTTTCAAAGCGTTACATGCTATGTCTCAGATTTATCATACCCGCTGCATTGCTATGGTTTGTTGCTGTAGTTTGTCCCAAAATATGGCCCAAACACCAGCCCTCGCCCCTCCCCGCAGACCCAGGTCCCAGACCAGGCTGTAGCTAGGCAGTCAGTCAGTCATTGAAGTCATTTATTGCCACCAATGTTGCACGTTGTTTTTGCCGAACAACTGTACTAAGTTTTGTGCGCTGCTGGCCGCTTTTTTGTTGCAAGTGTGTGTGTGTGTGTGTGTGTGTTGATAGCGCCTGGCCGAGAGTCCTGACCGTTTCGTGTGCAGGATGTGTTTGCAATTTGTGGACACGCCGACCGTCATTTGATTGCTATTGTTGTTGTTGTTGTTGTTGTTGCCGGTGTCGCCGCAGCCATTGTCGATTTTCTCTGCATTTTATATATTATATTGTTGTAAAGTTTTTATGTTGATTTCAGTCTCTTTTTTAATTATATGCGAATGGCATATGAAAAAGCTTTGAATAAACAACTGTTTTTTGCAGCCAAATGAAGTGGTTGCCAATGTGTTTGCCCCCCAATTTAAAAGCGCCCTGACCTGAGCTCCAAGATTGTAAGCACCCCAAATCCAAAGTTTTTTGCCCATATTCTATTAGACAGCGGCCGACCGCCCCGTTGATAAGCCAACTGTTTGTTTTCTTAGCACCACGCGATGGTTAACGTGCTGGTATCTCGTGCTGATTTTTTGTGTTTTCTTTTTTTTTGTTTGCAATATCATGACATCCATAAAATGTTCCAAGGCAAACATGCCACCGAACACACACTTGGACACATACATATGTGGGCCATTTTCCCACTGACATTTGAGGCGCGAGGTCTCATGAGACAATCAAAATTAAACGACTTTCGGCGTTGACATGCAAGACGCCAAAACAACAAAACCATGCCAATGTGTTCTGAAAAACTTCCAAAAACTTCGCAATTTATGCCATCTTTTGCTTTAGCAAAGATTTGAACCCGAATTTAGCCGTTACAGCAGCAAAGCCTTGCCATATGCGGCAAGCATATTTCTCGCTGGCTAAATATTACTGACTGGCAACGCAGCACACCTATTATTTGATGGGCAACGCGTAAAATAACAAAGTGGCAGCTCTTTGAAATGAGCGCAATTTCACACGACTTTTCACATTTTATCACATGGTTTTTTTTTACAAATAAAACACGTTATACAATAAAGCTGTTACAACTATACACAGTGCCCTATATAATTAAACACACACAAAAGCTTGTACTTACTTTTAGTTTTCTGAGCCTGGAACTCAACGTAATGACTTGCATCTCTCTGCCTTTGCCTTACTTGACACAATTCCGAAACATTTCAGTCGCTTGTCAACTAATTAAACTAATATACAGTAGCTATGAAGCCCGGACACATTGTACTTTTTGTGTTAATAAATTTAATACACTTTGTCTTTAACTTTATTCGACTTTACCGCCGCAAGCTGGAAACTGATAACGCCAATAAAAATGACGGCCTGGGAACCTAAGCAGTTACTCAAGCCGTCAAATAAAAAAGACGTACAAATTATTGCAGCCCTGGCGCGTGGAACAGCTGTTTAAAATTTGTGGCACACGCTATTTTGTTTTGAAAAAATTAATATGGAGTGCGTAAGTTGTGCAAGTATTACAGATAAATACAAATGCAGCAAGTGCTTAGCACCTTAGTAAGTAGCTTGAACAAGATGCAGCGATTGTTATTTATAATTGCCTTTGCAGCTGCTCTGTTAATTGCTACAAGGAACACAAAACACAGCCAGAGTGTACGGAAATTGCTGCAGTCAAACAAGCACCGCAGCCTGCCAAAAACGTGAACGAAGAGGAGCCCACAATATATGCACCATTTAGCACTGAGGATACTGTGCCGCTCGACCGGCTGGAGCAGTTGAGTAAAGTTCTCGGCTTCAGTTACGTATTTCATAATTCTAATAGATGTGCTTGCAGAGAACTCTGAACCATTGCGGCAACTGCTCCATAATCCACATCTGCGTGCGCTGCTTCAGCAAATCGATGTAGCGTATAATGCTAACCTGGCTATGACCGCTGCCATGCAGGAGCCGCTTTTCGTGGAGTTCGCCAACGCTTGTTTGCAGGTGGTGGAGCCCATGACGGAGGCGGAGCGTGCGGAGCGTGCGGAGCTGGAGCTGTGCAGTTGAAAAGTCTGTTGTGTCCACGTCTCGTACATGTATTTAAAATTATGCCATAATATATGTAGTTAAATTTAAGAAAGCGTGTATGTTGACACTTTAATTTATGCACGCGCGCATTGTGTACTATTAACGCGCATTTATTATATAGTAAAGACTAAGCAAATAGACAAATATATATATTTTTATAATCTACTGTTTGGCATTTTCGGCCGCACGCCTCACTTTGGCCCAGTTGTCGTCGTCGTCAAATAGATCATCGAAATCATTATAAAAATCGGCATGGACATGTTTATCATTTGTGGGTGCGGGCAAATGATCCATCATCATGCCTGTAGCGCTTCCCGACTTTAATTATTTGTATAATAAAAATCACTTAATATTTTTTCGTTCTGCAATGTGTACACCAATTCCTTTTCTGAGCTCACCTCTTCCATGTCCATGTAGCCGGCGCCCTCAGAGAACATCTCATCAACAGCTAGCGATGGTTTCATATTTAAATCCATTTGGTTTTGTGCTGTTTTAATATATTTTACTAAAAATTCTGCCCACAATTGTTTATGCTTTGTGGTGTGACAATTAGCAGCGTTGCCAGATTGGGGTCAGTGCTGCATCTGTTACTGTCATCAAATAACGAATGTCTGGCAGCACTGTACGAAACAGCTGTGCATTTTCCGGCTTTTGTTGAAAAAATGGTCCGCGTTGGCTTACAAATCTCAGCTACTCTCGAAAATATCGAAAAATTGGAAACTCATTCCGATTATGCGTTTTTCTTAAAGCTAACCTGCAGCAATTGCGGCGAAACATCGGAGAAATGGCATGATATCACCGAATCGGAGCGTGTGCAGCAGGATTCTCGCAATGCGGCGGGCTTTAATTTCTATATGAAATGCAAAATGTGCGCACGGGAAAACAGCATCGATGTTGTGGAAAAGTCGAACGGTGAGCGGATACTCCAATAAGAAAACGTTTACTAACATATTGCCTCGGTTACAGTGCCTTACACAGCTGAAGATGCGGGCAAATTCAAGACAATTGTGGTTTTCGACTGCCGCGGCGTGGAACCCGTCGAATTTTCACCGCGGACGGGCTGGAAAGTGGTTTCCTCGGAAAATGGTCAGTCGTTTGAGGATGTGGACCTATCCGAAGACGATTGGGTGGAGTACGATCAGAAAAACAAAAACTCGGTGGGCGTTTACGAATTTGCGTCTAAATTCATAAAACTCAAAAAGTAAAATCCAATTTAAGATTTTCATTTTTATGTTAAACTCTATCAATAAAGCATTTGTTAAAAAATAGAAACATTTTCGTTTGATTTGAGAAGCATTTTTCTTGCAGATTTACTTTTCACATAGAAATTTAAGCGTACGTGAGGTCTAATAAATATAGTATATAAAATATAGATAATTTAATATTTAGTCATTTAATGTTAGGCTGAGGCGCTTTAAGACACTATGTATTATGTTATGCAAAAATATATATAGTATACATATTTCTATATATATATATATATATATATACTCCATTTAGCGATATCGTAGTAATTATCAGACATACATATGTATTGTACAATCATAAAATATATAACTATAGTTATGTAGCATAAAGGAATAAACACAACGCCACTGGTGAATAGAGATACAGATCTAATCCCTAAAGTTATAAATTAAATTAATGAATGCGTCAGTTAGATTACATTTTTAGATTAAATCAAACAGAGAGCAAATTGTAACCTCAACTTTAGGATCTACAAATTTAAATTCTTGTCTTCCCTCTAATGACATTTATCGGCCACAATGGGAAAGCGTACGACGCGTATCTCGTTGCCATAGTCGCAGACAACTGAGTCGCAGGCGAGCATCATGAACTTGGGGCACAGCTGCAAATTGGCAAAGTCCAGCTTGACCTCGCGCGCCGGCTGACCCGTGCGCACATCCCACACAATGAGCGAACCTAATGGACAAAACACGAGTTAGCATAAGTAATAAATAGTTTTGGCATTTTCCTACCCATCTTGCTGGTGACCAGCAGCGATGGAGTCAGCATTAACAAGCTCGAATAGGCATTCGAGATTTTAATGGTGGTCAGCAGGTTGCCCTGAAAGCGTTCCCACACGCAGATGCGCTCATCGGTGCCCAGCGAGATGACATAGCTGGGCGCACAGGCCAGGCAGCTGACAGCTCCGTCATGTGCTTGTATATTGTACATGCAGGCGCCCGTAAAAAGATCCCAGACACACAGCAGGCCATCCTGCGAGCCAGAGCCGCCGGTGCCGGGCTGCCAGCGATCAACGAACAGGCAGGTCACAGGACCACAGTGGCCATGTAGGGTGTATTCCACATCTGATTTGTTTAAGCAATACACCTGTAAGCATTGGATAGACATTAAGCTCAGCTTTCTCTTTGATGTACTTTAACGCACCTTAAGCGTATGATCCTGACTGCCCGTGAAGACCATGTCGTTGACCACCTGCATGCAGGTAATTGGCTGCTGGTGTGCCAAACGCACACCCTCCAGCGTTATCTTCATTTCCTCCTTGGTGGTCTTCTGTGCCGCATCCTGTTGACGCTGCTGTTGCTGCATCATCAGCCCTATGCTGCCTGTGGAGCCGGTGCGCACGTGTGCTGTGAAGGACATGAAAAAAACGCTAAGACTAAATATTTATGAGTTGTAGAGTCTACTTTATACAATTCCTGACAATCCCTTATTATACTCTCCACGGGCATAAAAATAACGGCTACTGTTACATTAACAGAGCTTAAAGGTTACAAAAAATTGCGATGGAAATAGCTTAACAGCGCTTCAACATCTGCTCTTGATTAACAGCGCTAGGAGTTAGCTAGTTGGTTAACAGCGTGCTTCATTTACAGCCCGATAACAGACAGGCTAGATTAACAGCGATAACAAAGCTTAGCTTTGATATATCGATTGCTGCACTTTTAATGTTAACATAAGCGGGCTTTTAAATGTTTAAACTTACTGCGTCTATAGGCGGACGTAAAGCCCCAATCGATCTGCTTGCCCTTGTAGTAAGTTTCCAGGCGATAGAAATCCAGCCGTCCATTCAGGCGGGCCACAATAACACGATCGCCGTTCAAATGAATGTGCGTAATGCCCTGATTACGCTTGGCATCCTCCTGATAGGCACACTTTAGCACACCGGCTGGCACCTCCCACAGCTCGACACGCCCATTGGCACAACCAACGGCAATGAGATTATCAAAGTAGTCCAGACACCAGACCGGCGATGTAGGCAGCTTGCGCAACATCGTCAGGCCATCCTGACGTGGATGCTCTATTTGCATATCGCTGCGTCCAATGTTGGCCAGCTGCTGGCCGGTGCGGCCATCCCAGACGCGTATCTGACCCTTGAGACAGCAGCTAATGATGTAGTTCCCATCGCTGGCCAAACACTCGATGCGATGCTTGTGCCCGGCTATTTTAGTGGGCACACCCTCCAGTATGTGTTCGGTTTGCTTGTAGGGCGCCTCCGATTCGTGCCAGCTGGAACGCCATTCGGCATAGTTGCGAGTGCAGATGCAGCGATAGAAGACAACCATCGTGTAGCAGAGCACAAAGATGCTGATGCAGCACAGCAAAATGGCGAAGAAGATTTCCATGGGACTCTTGGGCACTAACGGCGTCCCGCCAGCCATGACCATGGGCGATTCCCGACGTGCATCGTCATCATTGAAGTCCAGAGGATCCAAGGCTGCAGCCAAAGCTTTCCATTGAAAGTTCTGCTGCAGCTGCTCCTGCGGATTGCGCAAGACCGTGGCCAGCTCCGGGGATATGGCATGCGTCAGCCGTATGGTGGGCAGGAGCGTCACATATTGTCCGCTCAGCGAGACATTGTACTGCTTCATAATGGTCGACCAGTGGAAGTTGGACAGAAAATAGTTTAGCTCAAAGTTGGGATAACGCAGACGCATCATCTCCGCCTCCGTCTCATTGATATCGTGCAACGGCTGCTCTGTTGTTGGGGTCACATAGCTGGCCGAGCTGCCCAGACGCTCGCCCGTCGGCTTGAAGCCCTTGAGGAAGCTGCTGACGGCGCCGCGCGTCGCCTGCAAATGACGCTGCAGCTCGTAGGCGGTGCTCATGGTGCCGTTGCTCTGCATGCTGAACAGCTGCTCCAAGCAGCCCGAATTGTACAAGATTGAGCAGATCCACACGATCATCCAGATCATAAAGGCGCGCTGAAAGAAACGTGTGCGCGCCCAGAAATTCACAATCTTAATGCGTTTGGGTATGCGCGCCTCCTGTCCCACATGCGCGGCATGCCCATTGACCATTTGGGCGCGTTCGCCAGCATCCGCAAAGCACAGCTTGGGATGCGATTGGGATCGTTGAAAGGTGCCCGGCACGAAGGGCAACATGGGCGACGGTGCAGCGCCAAAGAAACGGAAATCCTGGCGACTCAACGAACCGGCGCCAGCCTGTCCATTGCCCAGCGTACAACTGAGCATCATCTTGGGCAAGTGCTTGGCCTCCGTGGTGTATTCCGCACGCTTGATATTCATGGCCAGTATGGTGGAGAACAGCAGCATTTGCAGCATAAAGTCCGAGAGCAAGCCGACAATGGCAAACACGCAAAACTCCTGGATAACCGGCACAAAGGTGGCCAGTCCAATGGTCAGAATGGTGATCTCCGTGAGCAACGTCTTGGATATGTGCCAGCCCTCCTTGCTCAAGGCCTGCGCCACGCGTATTTTCACATCGAATGTCTCATCCATAGACACCACGCTCTTGGTTATAACCAGGCTATTCTCCAGGCCCACCAATATGACCAGATACGGGAATATATCCTTCGACTGCAGCGAGATGGTTAGCCCGAAGAAGAAGCACAAGCCGAGCGACATCGCCAGGCTGCCCAACGTGGTCAGCACGCTGCAAAGCGCCAGCAGCACACGCGAACGGAACACATCGATCTTGCGCACCGAGAAGTACACATAGGCAAAGACCAAAATGAATGCCACGGATAGGGGCAGAAATTCCCAGATTTTCAACTCGCCCGGATAGAAGATGTACGTTATGGTCGAGGGCTCCACATCGGCTGTGGCCGGCGCTGGGCTCAGTGGCGGATAAAAGCGCAACAGTTTCTCCTTCAGCGTTTCCAAATACTCCGGATCATTTTTGTTGAGGATCAGTGTCATGGCGTACTGTATAATGCGAGAGCGGGCACGCAAGGGATAACGCTTGAAGCCAGTATCCTGCATGGGCAGTCCGAATAACATTTCCGCCGTCGAAACTTTCGATTTTTGCAAATTCTGTAAAAGAAAACAAAACAAACGATCTGAGATAATGCTTTATAGATAATTGATCGACCGGCTGCCTCTTATCTTTGGAGTGCCCCCGGGTGTACTTTGGATCCGTAACGATTACTAAACTTTAAATAATGAGGCCTACGACGTGTGAGTCATATTGATTGGTAATGAACAAGTGTTGAGAGGGGATCAATCACTGTTACATGATAAATCATATTTTTTTAGTCTCTAATCAACACTCTCTTCAAAATCCACAAAACTTAAAAACCTCTTCAATAAACACATTTTTGATTTCTTGTTTATTAATCTAAGAGCTACCA